CAAGAAAATGAGACTGAAATGCTCCTGGACACACTGATTCAGAACTAGACTGCAGTGCCAACCAATGACTTTAACTAGAACCAGCAGAATAAAGAACTCATGGCCAGTGTCGTGGCTCAATAGGCTAATCCTCCGCCTGCGGCGTTGGCACCCCAGGTTCTAGTTCTGGTCGGGGCGCCAGATTCTGTCCCGGTTGCTCCTCTTCCAGTCCAGCTCTCTGCTGTGGCCCGGGAGTGCAGTGGAGGATGGCCCAAATCCTTGGGCCCTGCACCCACATGGGAGACCAGGAGGAAGCACCTGGCTTCTGGCTTCTGGCTTCGGATCAGCGCAGCGCGCCGGCTGCAACGCGCCAGCCATAGTGGCCACTTGAGGGGTGAACTAACGGAAAAAGGAAGACCTTTCTCTCTGTCTCTCTCTCTCTCTCTCTCTCTCTCTCTCTCACTGTCCACTCTGCCTGTCGAAAGGGAAGGGAAGGGAAGGGAAGGGAAGGGAAGGGAAGGGAAGGGAAGGGAAGGGAAGGGAAGGGAAGGGAAGGGAAGGGAAGGGAAGGGAAGGGAAGGGAAGGGAAGGGAAGGGAAGGGAAGGGAAGAACTCACTTTTTGCTAGCACCACTGAAACTGGAATTAGCTTAGCCCTGACAAAAGCAGGCTTCCTGAGAAGAAAGCAACACAGGGATAACTGAAGGCAAGTGATGGACAGTCACAGAATACTGGCCACAGGTTGGAGCACCTGGGTGCAGCTGTTACTGAACTCTGATAGACTTCACTGCCAGTTGCATCAACCAGTATTTTGATAAATGACTCTGACTAAGTCATTTGCTCTGGAACTCATTGCCCTCACTTAAAAATAAAGGCCTGAGACAAGATGGCTCCTACCTAAAATCTTTTTCAAATCTCATGGTTTCTAATACTGTGATTGGTCATTTGGTAGCAGTTTCATGGATAGAATTCTTTTAAAAAAATTTTTTTTTGAAAGGCAGAGTAACAAAGAAAAATCTTCCATCTACTGATTCACTCCCTAAGTACCTGCAGCAGTCAGTGTTGAGCCAGGCCAAAGCCAGGAGCCACGAAATGAATCCTAGTCTCCCACAAAAGTGGTTGGGACTCAGCATTGAGCCCATCTCTCAGTCTCTCAGGTGCATTAGCAGGAAGCTGGATCAGAAGCAGAGGTGGAAGCAGAACTTGATCCTATGTGCACTGCTATGGGATGCAGGCATTTCAAGAGGAAACTTAACCCACTGTACCACAATACCCACCACAGAATTTTTTTCTTAGCTTTGTCAAATTATTATAAAATAATTCAAACAGTCCAACTACAAACAAGAATTCATTGAGCACATACAAATTGAACAGTTTTTAACATTTTGCCACATTTGCTTCCTATGTAAATATTATATGTATTATATGTACACACATAGATGCTATTTTTGAAAGCAGAAGATGTATAGTAATATCATATAACATGTAATCCTTGACAAAGATCATAAAACAAGGAAAGAAAGGGTAAAATTCAGTGAAGATATTTATAAATAACTATATAATAAATAATGTGGCATGTTCACTTCTTTTGTTCTATATTAACTAACACATACAAGGCAAAACGTGGCTTCTTTTTCTGCCTCTTAGTATAATAATCTCTAATTCCACCAGTTGTGTTGCAAATGTCAGATTTCATTCTTTCTATGGTTGAGTTATATTCTGTTGTGAATATATACCGCATTTTCTTTACCCGGTCATGCATTGATCAGTATCTGGGCTGATTCCATATCTTTGCTATTAGAAGCAGGGCTGCAATAAATAGGGTGTTGCAACTATCTCTTTCATATGCTGACTTCATTTCCTTTGGATATATTCCCAGAAGTGGGTCATATTGTGGGTATATGTTTCAGTTTTTTGAGGAATATCTAGTTTTCCATAATGATAGTACTGATTTGCATTCCCATGAACAGTGTATTAGGGTTCCCTGTCCTCTACATGGTTCCTAGCACTTGTTCATTTTTGGATTTTTCTTAGCAGCCATTCTAACTGGAGTGATATGCCATTGTATTTCCCTGATGGTCAGTGATCAAAAAACTGAGCATGTCTTTGTGCGTTTATTGACCCATTTGGTTAAATTAATTTGGAACATTTCTTTTGAGAAATGCCTATTCAGGTCATTTGTCCATTTCTTGACCAAGCTTTTTGTTATTTTTTTATTTCTTGAGTTCTTTGTAAATTATATATACTAATCCTTTATTACATTATGGCTTGCAAATACTGCCCCCCATTCTTTCAGCTGTCTCTTCATCCTATTTATTGTTTCCTTTAGTCTACAGAGGCTTCTGAGTTTGACAAAATCTCATTTGTCTTTTGTTTTTTTGCTTTTATTGTCGGTGCTTTGGGGATCTTTTCCAAAAAATCATTGCCAATGCCAGCGTCTTGGAGAGTTTCCCTTATGTTTCCCTCTAGCACTCCCAAAATTTCAGGTAATACGTTTAGATCTCTGATCTATTTTGAGTTAATTTTTGAATAGTATTAAAGTAGGGATCTTGCTTCAAACTACTACATTTAGAAATCCAGTTTTCCCAATGTCATTTATTGAAGAGAGTGTCCTTTCTCCAGGCAGCATTTTTAACACCTTTGTCAAAGATAAGTTGGTTGTAGATCTGTGTGTATAGCTGAAGAGAATTCTTAAAGGGCCAAATTCCAAGTGACAAAATAAATGGTGCTGACCGCCTTTGCTCTCTTGTTAGATAACAAAAGGTGAGTCCTACTGTGGTCATCACTAGGGCCTCGAGAGGTCATTTCGTCTTCCTCCCGGGTCTCCAGTCTTAAATATAAGACATACACAGCTTGTTTTATACATGGCAGTTTCATTTTGATGGAGCTGAAAGACAGCGCTCAAATTAATTTCATCAAAGATGTTACTGCCAAACTGTATCATGATCCTAAATATCCTTTCCCCTTTTCTTTTCACTTGTATTTAATGAAATTCTACTTGCCCAATTTAGCAACTGCAAAGGAAAAGCCCTTGGATGTCATTCCTCATAGTTAAATAACTCTGACAGACAGTATTTATATCCCCTGCTAATTATTTTCCCCATATGATGGAGGATTTTATTCCTTAGCTGTTTCATAGATAGAAAAGCTTTTGAAAATATATAATATTTTGACCCTTAAGATAAACGATCTGTTGTGAAACTGGTGCTTTTTCTTATGAGTGTCATTCAAAATAAAATAATACATTTAGATGTGTTGCAGCAATTTACTTGCTGTTACTCAAATCTTACCCTCTAATTAGAATGAGAAATATGAAGCCTCATCAGTGGATAATTTAACAAATTCAATGTCAAGGAATTACCATATTTTGTTATTTCCTAGCACAAAGATTTGTGGGCATGGAGAAAAATGTAAGCTTCTAAAATGTAAGGTATGACTTACAACAAAGAGCTCTTAGGAGGTGAGAGTATGAGTTCAGGCTAATCAGAGGTTTTGGACAAGTTCCAAAAGGCAGATTCAAAAACGCAACTCAGTCTCCAAATCCATCTGCTTTGTGATGCAGTGGGGATAGGATGATAGAGACAACTGGTAAAACAAGAATTTTCGAAGCTCTTATAAAATGATTGTGGAGCAATAGGGATTCCAAGAAGAATTCATATGGGAATAAGAATTTCACCTCTCAGAGTCTGCGTTGTGGTGTTGCAGGGTAAGCCACCATCTGTGATGCCAGCCTCCCATATGGGCTCCAGTTTGAGTCCTGGCAGCTCTACTTCTGATCCAGCTCCCTGCTAATGCACCTAGGAAAGCAGCAGAAGATGCCCCAAGTACTTGGACCCGGGCACCTCAACCTGGCCCAGCCCTGCCACTGCAGCCATTTGAGGAGTGAACCAGCAGATGGACGATCTCAATTTCTCCCTGTCTCTCTCTCTCTCTTTAACTCTGCCTTCCAAGTAAATAAATAAATATTTTTAAAACCTTTTTTTTTATGTATTTGACAGAGTTAGACAGTGAGAGAGACCGAGAGAAAGGTCTTCCTTCCATTGGTTCACCCTCTCCCCTCCACCCCCCGCCAAATGGCTGCCACAGCCAGAGCTACACTGATCTGAAGCCAGGAGCCTCCTGGTCTCTTATGAGGGTGCAGGGGCCCAAGCACTTGGGCCATCCTCCACTTCCTTCCTGGGCCACAGTGGAGAACTGGACTGGAAGAGGAGCAACCAGGACAAGAACCTGGTGCCCATGTGGGATGCTTGCGCCGCAGGTGGAGGATTAACCTAGTGAGCCAGGGCACTGGCCCCAAAATAAATTTTTTTTTAAAATAATCTCAGCTCCAAAGTGAGAAATGTATAACTATATAAGTGGCAGAGATCTTGCTGCATTGGAATCTAAGTTTACCTTGTTCTATCATCTCTGTACCCATCATTGCATGATATGAGTATATCCTATAAGGACAGATCTTGCTACTATAACAAGTAATTCTATAGTTACAGTGGTGTAACAAAATTAAGGTTATTCATCATTCCCATCACAGTTCCATAGGGGACTTCCTGGACAGACAACCTTCTATGTAATCATTTTATCTTTTTTTTTTTTTAAGCTTTACTTATTTTGAAAGGCTGAGTTACAGAGAACCAGAGGCAGACAGACAGAGAGAGAAGTCTTCTATCCACTGGTTCACTCCCTGAATAGTGCCGCAATGGCCAGAGCTGGGTTGATCCAATGCCAGGAGCCAGGAGCTTCTTCCAGGTCTCCCACACAGGTGCAGGGGCCCAAGCATTTGGGCCATCTTCCACTGCTTTCCCAGGTCATACCGGAGAGCTAGATCAGAAGTGGAGCAGCCAGGACTCAAACCGGTGCCCATATGGGATGCTGACACTTCAGGTGGGCGTTTTACCCGCTATGCCACAGCGCCAGCCCCGATCGTTTTATCTTCACCTTCTGCTAGGACTTGGAGCCCTTGCATTCAGCCAGGCAGTTGGGAGAATAAGCCATAAGGAAGGCACACCTACATCTTAACTATTTTACCTGGGAAGAGACACAAGTCCACTTTTCTTCACCTTTCAATGGCCTGAACCCAGGCGTGGTCTATATTCAGGTGCCGTGGAGCCATGAAAACCAAATGCAACTGTGGGCCAGGAAGAAAAGGAGACACATGTTAGGGAATGTGATGTGCCTTCTGCCAGCTTCTGTCTCTCTCTCTCTCTCTCTCTCTCTCTCTCCCTCCCTCCCTCTCTCTCTCTCCCTCCCTCTCTCTCTCTCTCCCTCCCTCTCTCTCTCTCCCTCCCTCTCTCTCTCCCTCTCCCTCTAACTCTCCCTTTCCCTCTCCCTCTCTCTCTTTCTCTCCTGCTGTCATCCTATGGCAAAATAGCTAAGATGCAGAGTAGAGTATGCTCTAGAGGCTGTGTGTTTAAACCGTTGTGTCAACCTTCTATATTTACTAGTCTGCAAAATGGTAATCCCCAAAGTATCTTCTCATAGCATTGTTGTGAATATTAAATAAATGATGGCCCGCAATGAACGTAGAATATACCTGAAGTTAATTACTTCTCAGTATCTGTGCCAGTTGGACTCCTAGTTCAAAGCAAACTATCTTGCTGACTTAGGTAAAAGAGAATTGATGAAGGGGACCAGAAAGACTGCAGACAAAGAAGGGCAAAAAGGCAAAAAGCAAGCAGCCTCTAGAGAGCGTGGCTTCTGGAACTCAGAGCAGTTACTCCAGGAGATCTGGAAGTCACTTCTGCTGCATTCCTCCAAATGCCTCCGCACCCAGGGACACTCAATCAAACTCCAAGTTCCATAGAGCCTATTCAGTTAGTCGAGCTGAAGTCAGTTGTGTGCCTCAAATTTGCAAAGTGTAGACAAGGAGAATTTAGCTCAACTTGTTCCCTAACTCCCAAGGATGCACACAGTGATGCATTCCTAAGAAAATAAAATGTTTAAATGCTGGACACCCTCCTGCCAAAAAAATAAAACAAAAAGAAACCACTATCCATTATATGATCCATCTCACCATCCATCCACTCACCCATTTATCCATTCATCCATCCACAAAGACCTAGATACATACATATTTCTCAATAAACAGATCACCAGAATTAATTCATGTTCTTTATATCCAAGTGCCCATAAAATTGAATCTTTCCAAGACAGCATTTATGGACCTAATTCTCCCCAAGGCTTTTGTCTCACTGGGCAGTGGATGAAAAATATTACAGCCTGAAAAGAATTGACTTGAAAGAATTAGGGTCCTTGCCTAAATGCCCAACATAGCACAAAAGAGTGGCTGCCGCCTCAGGGTGAACAGAACGCTGTGTTTCACAAGGCATGATATTTATTATGATGGTGGGACAAAATGGCCTTGGCCAGATATTAAATTAATTATGCATCTAAGGCAAGAATGCTGCTTTCAAATTTAGATAAAAATTTTTATTAAAGTTAGAACATGTACAGATTCTGTTTAAAATTCCCTTTACAGAATCGAATTAGGGTTGCCATTGATACAAAGCTTCTGTTCTACCTGAGATGTATTTCACACTTTGAACAGAATTCAGGTGTTTCTTCTGGAACTAATAGCTTCATTTAATTTACAATTTCTATGTTAGAACTGACATGCTAACAATGAAAAATATTTTAAAACTCACAGTATCCTTCAGTGAAATTCTAAATGAGCCCTTGGTATCTCCAACTATAACAGCTGCCACAAAAGATTTTGTATTTTAAAGGTATTAATAGTTTTGGCATTTTAATGCTGTGTTTACAAGGAATTAAATTCAGTCACCAAAATGTGTTCTAATGCAATTATTATAGAAATTGTTTTGTGTCTGCCTCCCGGGCCATAGTGGTTGAGTACAAGATGCTATACAGAGACATTTACATAAATCAATATATTTAGTCCTTGCAATAACTTAAGACAGTCTCATTTGTTCTCTATTTGATATACAGAGAAATTGTACCTTGGAACACAAATTGCTTACCGAACTTTACACATGTATAAATGGCAAGACTGGTCATCGGAACCAGCAGTCCTAGTCCAGAATTCATGCTCACCCACTACATATCCCTGTAATTCTATTCATTGGTGTCTTCCTTTGGTAGTATTAACTGATTGGCAGCCATGGTTGGCATACATGATCACATTATCTTGATTAATGTCATTAGGGTTAGACATTTTATCTAACAAAGACCATCAAGGGTAGCTTTTCTGAAAATCTGGAATTGAGATGAACAGATGGCTGTTTAGTCTGTGTCCTTAGTCTTCACAACATGAGATAAATGTAATCTGATGAGTGTTTGGCTGGATCCATCCTCTTCATGGTGTGGGACTGAATAGCAAGACAATCTGGATGGCAGAGGGTAGAACAATCAAGAGGGCATGCTAAGATAGGCTTTGCGGCTGGCGCTGTGGCCCAATAGGCTAATCCTCTGCCTGTGGCGCCGGCACACTGGGTTCTAGTCCGGTCGGGGCGCCGGATTCTGTCCAGCTCTCCGCTTTGGCCCAGGAGTGCAGTGGAGGATGGCCCAGGTCCTTGGGCCCTGCACCCGCATGGGAGACCAGGAGGAAGCACCTGGCTCCTGGCTTCGGATCAGCGCGGTGCGCTGGCTGCAGCAGCCATTAGGGGGTGAACCAACGGAAAAGGAAGACATTTCTCTCTGTCTCTCTCACTGTCCACTCTGTCAAAAAAAAAAAAAAAAAAAAAGAACAAAAACAAAAAAGATAGGCTTTGCATGTTTTTAAACCATTTCTTAATTTGGTTAATGAGCATTTGGTAAAACAAGGATTTAATGACAACCTAAAGAGAAGCAGCAATGTTGGAGACATTTCTTTCCAGATTTTCATAAATACTATTATTTCAGTTCTCAAGAAAATGTGTATACTCTAATAAGTTATGCAATATGAAAAGAACATGTACCTCTTATTTACTTCACTATTATGCCAGTGATTTAGATTTCTAGCACTTTGCTTAACTTGTGTTAGCAACCCCCAAATCATCTTGTTTGTAGATTGTTCTAAATAAAGGACTGTTACTTAACTCCTCATTTTCTCTTAGGGACCATTTGAAAAACATTTTCTCTTTCTATGTTATAGAATTTTGTGAATGGCTTCTAATCCTTTATAAATTATGTTTAAATATTGTAAACATTAAGTCAATTAAATTCCACCTATGTTCCTGTTGGCTTCCCTGTAGTACTTAAGATACTTACGATATCTGCTGTTAGGGAGCAGACATTCAGCCTAGCAGCTAAGATTCCATGAGACACCTATGTCCCATATGAGAAACCTTGAGTGTTTACCTTGCTCTGGCTCCTGTCTCTAGCTTGCTGTCAGTACAGATCTTGGAAAATATTGGTGATGGCTCAAGTAATTGATTTTTCTGTTACCCATTTGAGAGACAGACCTGGATTATCCCAGCTCCCACCTATTGTGGGCATCTAGGGAGTAAACCACCAAATGGGAATTTCTTCATCTCTCTTTCTCTCTTCTTCTCTCTCTCTCTCTCTTTCTCTCTCAAAATAAAAATAAAACATTTTTTCAAAGATAGCTGGAGTTTGCAACCCCAAATGCCCTAACCCTGTAAGAAAGGAGGAAGAGATTTAGTATTTCCTAGACATTCACATAAGTTTATTTTAGTTATCATGGTATTTCTACATGAGAGTATCAAGTTCAAAATATTAAGTGGTTAGGAGAAGTTAAGATTTCAGTTTTGATTTCCTGAATTCAAGGACCCAAGATTTTTCTCTTCCATTAGGTACCCTATCTCAGAATTGAAAGAAAAATGAAAAAATCTCAGAAATATTGCTCAAAACTGAACTTCACATCTGTGAATTATCAGAGTAAAAATAAAATGTAACAGTTGCTTGTTTCTGAAATATATCATTTCCCCTCTAAAGCATTGACTAATCAGTGCCTATTTCCTTGCAATTCTATGTGCACAAGGATTACAGAAATGGACGGAGTTCTGTCATAGCATGCTCAAAGCAGAACAAAGGACAAGGGCCATCCTCTTGAAAATGGAGGCAATGGACAAGAGACAAACAAAACATGAAGTAAAGAAGGCAGTACCTGCAAAATTACAGTGCTTAGGCCAAAAGGAAGAGATTCAGACTAAGTTAGGAAATAAATGCTTATGGTCATTCTGAGAGCAGGGATGTTGGGAAATGAACCCTGGTGCATCTCAGAGAGGTGAGAGCAGAAGCCGAAGCAACTTGAGAAACCTCACACTGCTGGCTCACCTACATGTTTACTAGCCTGTTTTTTTTAATCCCTTGTATCTTCTACTACCTATAGCTTCTGCTTTTTGTTTGTTTGTTTGTTTGTTTGTTTTTCCATTTTAGCCCATGTATGTTTAGTTTCCCCTACACACATATAGTCCTCATGGCCCTGGTTTCAGCTTCTCCTGGGACCATTGGCAACTGGTACTGGCACTGGAATTGCTCTGTGTGAACTGTCCTTTAGTTGGGCAGAAGTGTGGTTTGTTTATTTGTGGGCTTCTGTGCTGGTCTGCTTCACATCGAGCTGCCCAGACCATGGACTGTTTGTGTGGGCCAGGCTCATCCCTGCGTGGGGATAGGAGATACAAGGTAGTGAGCGAATGGTAAGTCCAGGACACACAGTGGAAATCTCCAGGGCTTTAGTCTGTTCTTATCAGGAGCGATAGTGGGAGGGAAAGTTGTGGCCACCACCAGCATATACGTGCTCAGGTCAGGCCTTGCCTGAAGTGTTCACATATTGAGAAAACAGCAGCTAAGACAGATCCACCCTTATATTGTGCTTGACACCACTCCAAATGCTTTGCTGACATGGTCTCATGTAGTGTGAATGATGACAGTAGGCCCCCATTTCAGAAACAGGCACCCAAACAAAATTCTATCTGGAGATGATTCTCCATTTTGGAGATGAAAAACCTGAGGCACACAGCCCTCACTCTTAACCACTGCATAAATTACAAGGGACTAGGTGTTGAGGCTGGGGAGGTTGTGAAAGGAAGAAGGAAAGATGCCATTTAGAGAGTGGCATTGTCTTTGATATTTCTGCTGCCTGACAGGAATTGGCTTTGTTTTCCAAAGCTCCTAAACAAATAAACAACAAGCCAACAGTGGAGGGTGTTCACCAGTGAAATGGAAATGGCAGCACAGTGTTCAAAATTCAGGGGAAGGACCTGTCTGTGGCTAGAAATATACCGGTGGAAGTTGGAAAAACGAATCTTTGGGCAAAGCGAAGAAGTGGGTGATGACGACAAATTCTCTCTCTCACAGTCAGCATCCTTGGCTGTCACGGGGAAAGGCCGATCCAGATCCCACCTAACCTTACGTTGCAGAAAGTACCCCTCCACAAGGACTTCCCTGATTAGTCCATTATCCCTCCTTCTGTGGAATTCTTGTTGCCATTATTCTATGGCTAATACAGAATGATGTCTGGATAAAAAGAAAGAACTACATGGCCAATGTCGGAGCCACTTTCTTGCAGCTTAAGCTGTGCAAGCTGGCAAAATATTAACAGTAGCCATTCGGGCGATGCCAACATCCCAGAACAGATGTGCACCTGGGGCTTCGAAAAATCCTTGCTGCAGTGGGTACTGGCTTCCTTCTCGCCAGCGTCCTGATCTCTTTTCCCTTTGGAGAGCCCAGTCCTCAGTTCTGAGGAGGCCGGTGCACCTCTGTGGCCAGGTCAATGGCCCGCCTGACTGGGTGAGTCCCCTGAGCGATCCGAGGAAAAGGAGAGCGAATGCAGCCAGGAAACAAGCTGCCAGATGCAGTGGAAGGAAATCAAAAGGCATGAAGAGAGCAGGGCGGTCAGTGTGCAGCTGGAACTCTTCCCCTAACACAGCCTGAACGGTTAAAGGGAATTGTCTCCCTGGCACGCTCCAGTGGGGGCCTCTGTGCTCAGTGCTGCTGGTTTCCCTCTCGGCCCTGCTAAGTGGGCATGTGCAACTCTATTCCGAATCCATTCCCATCCTCTTGGCTTCCCTTGCTACAGATAGCCCCTGCTCTCTACCAGCTGCAATTCTTCTCTAAGAGAAATGCATCCCAGGCTTATGTTTTTCTCTTTCTTTCTCTCTCAGACTCCACAGTATTTGTTAAATGTTTGTGCATATGTTTTCTGGAAACAAATTCCCTGCAGAAGAATCACAGGTTTACCCTGCTATAAATACTTGTCTATTAGTTATAAAATCAGAAAATATCAGCTGAAATATGGAGTCACTGTGTGTTTTATTAAGATCTGATTCTCCTTCTAAGCCCGGGTATATCTGTCTTTTAGGGAAAAAAAATCCACCAAGATCCAGTAAGTTGTTTTTGTTTTAAGATTTATTTATTTATTTATTTGAAAGTCAGAGTTGCAGAGAAGCAGAGGCAGAGAGAGAGACAGAGGTCTTCCACTGGTTGACTTCTCAGATAGCTACAACAGCTGGAGCTGGGCCGATCCAAAGCCAGGAGCCAGAAGTTTCCTCCAGGTCTCCCATGTGGGTACAGGGGCCCAAAGACTTGGGCCAACTTCTACTGCTTTCCCAGGCCATAGTAGAGAGCTGGATCAGAAGAGGAGCAGCCGGGACTTGAACCGGCGCTCATATGGGATGCCGGCACAGCAGCCAGCAGCTTTTTCCACTGTGCCACAGCACAGGCCCAAAGTTTTGTTTCTGTTTTTTTTTTTTTTTTTAATAACACAATGGCATTCTTTTTAGGGGAAAATTATTATTTTGCTTAAAAAATAAACACATGAGTACATGTCTTTTCTTTATCCAGCCCAGGATTTCTCAGGCTCAGCACTATCAATGCTGAGAACCAGAGAACTCTTGTTGCAAGGGACTGTCCAATGCATGGCTGAGTGTTTATCAGCATCTTAGACTTTACTCAGGAGAAGTCAGTCCCCACTTCCCTCCTGGCTGACATGAAACAAAGAGTATCTCTAGACATTGCCAAACGTCCCCAAGGGGACAAAATTGCTCTTCATAGAGGCCTAGTGAAAAGGCATAGGCTCTCTCACAGCAGATACCTAATTTTTGGGTTTGAGTGTCAGCAGCCAAGGGTGAGGCCTGGCGCTGTGGCATAGCAGGTAAAGCTGCCACCTGCAGGGCCAGCATCCCATATGGCCACCAGTTTGAGTTCCCACTGCTCCGCTTCCAATCCAGCTCCCTGCTAAGGCACCCGGGGAAGCAGCGGAAGATGATCCAAGTTGTTGGGCCCCTTGCACCCATGTAGGAGACCTGGAAAAAGCTCCTGGCTCCTGTCTTTGGATTGGCCTAGCTCAGGCTGTCATGGCCATTTGAATGTGAACCAGTGGATAGAAGACCTCAAGGTCTGTCTCTCCATTTCTCTGTAATTCTACTTTTCAGATAAATAAATAAATCTTAAAAAAAAAAAAAAAAACAACAGCCAAGGGTGTTTCCTATTGCCTTCAGGAAAAGGCACAGCTTACCTACTTGGCCATCTTGGCAAACATGGTCTGGCCTCAGCTTCCCAGTAAATTTGGATCTTCATCTATGTGTCCCTGCTCTCTCCTCCAGCCAGCTCCCTGCTGCCATGGAGTTGAAGACAAGCTGGTACCTCCCTATGGAATAATCTGGTCTTTGTTGCAAACTCACCCCTCTTCAGCTTTCACAGATCACTAAGTGCCACTTCCTTAGAAAAGTGACAGTGACCTGTTCCCTCAAGGGTTTGTGTCCTCTATGCAGCCACTCTCCATAGCTGATGTCTTTCCTGCTTTCATCTGGGTTGAAACTGTTTGAGAAATCTCTCTCTTCCCCATGATGCTGTGTAATCCTGGAGAGCAGGGCCCAGGTTTGTTTTGCTCTTTGATGCTCATTTTCTCGCCATTGTTGCCTGGCATTGTACACACTTCCTGGATCACCCTGGATACAGAATATTTGAACAATGGATGCATGAACAAGTGGCTCAAGGGACTGTTTCCTAACAGGCTGTATCAGATATCTTACTGCTTTGTTCCTGTAGGAGAAGAGTTTTGTTCCTGTAGGTGCAGTTGTAACAAAAGACATGCTTTTATTTTAAAATCTTGATTTAGTTTTATTTTCTATTCAACTTTTATTTAATAAGTATAAATTTCCAAAATACAACTTTTGAATTATAACAGCTTTTCCCCCCATAACCTCCCTCCCACCCGCAACCATCCCATCGCTCACTCTCTCTCCCATCCCATTCTTCATCAAGATTCAGTTTTAATTATCTTTATATACAGAGGATCTACTTAGTATTTACTAAGTAAAGATTTCAACAGACTACACCCACAAAGAGACACAAAGTATAGAGTACTGTTTCAGTAGTAGTTTTACCGATAATTGGCATAGTACAACACATTAAGGACAGTGGTCCTATGTGGGGAGCAGGTGCAGAGCGACTCCTGTTGTTGATTTAACAATTGACACTCTTACTTATGATGTCAGTAATCACCCTAGGCTCTTGTCATGAGTTGCCAAGGCTATGGAAGCCTCTTGAGTTCACCAACTCTGACCTTATTTAGACAAGGCCATATTCAAATTGGAAGTTCTCTCCTCCCTTCAGAGAAAGGTACTGCCTTCTTTCATGGCCTGTTCTTTCCACTGGGATCTCACAGAGATCTTTCATTTAGGTCATTTTTTTTTTTTGCCACGATGTCTTAGTTTTCCATGCCTAAAATACTCTCATGGGCTCTTTAGCCAGATCCAAATGCCTTGAGGGCTGATTCTGAGGCCAGAGTGTTGTTTAGGGCTTTTGCCATTCTATGAGTCTGCTGTGTATCCTGCTTCCCATGTAGGATCATTCTCTCATTTTTAATTCTATCAAGTATTTGCAGACACTGGTCTTATTTATGTAATCCCTTTGACATTTAATCCTATCTTTTTGATCAATTATGAACTGAAACTGATCACTTTAACAAGTAAGATGGCATTGTAATTTTTTTATTCAATTCTTTTGATTTCTTCTCTAATTTTAATTATTTCACTTCTCCTACTAATTTTGGATCTGGTTTGCTGTAGTTTTTCTAGATCCTACCTGTAGCTCACTTGTTTGGTGCCTTTCCAATTTCTTAATGTAGGCACCTATTGTTATAAACATTCCTCTTAACACTGCTTTTTCTGTATCCCATAAGTTTTGATATCTTGTGTTGTTATCCTCATTTACTTCCAAAAAGTTTTTGATAGCTCTTTTTATTTCTTCTATGACCCACTGTTCATTCAGGAGCATGTTGTTCAGTCGCCATGTGTTTGCATATGCTCTAGGGATTCCTGAGTTGCTAATTCCCAGCTTCATTCCATTGTGGTCAGAGAAGATGCATGGTATGATTTCAATTATTCTGAATTTTCTGAGACTTGCTTTATGGCCTAGTATGTGGTCAGCCCTAGAGTAGGTTCCATGTACTGCTGAGAAGAATGTGTATTCTTTAAATGTAGGATGAGAAGTTCTGCAGGTATCTGTTAGATCCATTTGGACTGTAGTGTCATTTATCTGCTGTTTCCTTGTTGATCTTCTGTCCAGTTGATCTGTCATTGCTGAAAGTGGTGTATTGAAGTCCCCCAGTACTATTGTATTGGAGTCTAAGTCTCCTTTTAAGTCCCTTAACATATCGTTTAAATAAACCGGTGCCCTGTAATTAGGTGCATATACATCGATAATCGTTATATCTTCCTGTTGAATTGATCCCTTAATCATTATATAGTGCCCCTCTTTGTCTCTCTTAACAGTTTTTGTGTTAAAATTTATGTTGTCTGATATCAAGATGGCTATGCCAGCTCTTTTTTGGTTTCTGTTGGCAAAGAGTATCTTTTCCCAATGTTTCACTCAGTCTGCATGCATCTTTGTTGGAAAGATGTGTTTCTTGTAAGCAGCAAATAGATGGGTTTTGTTTTTCAATCAATTCAGCCAGTCTGTGTCTTTTAGCTGGAGAGTTGAGGCCATTTACATTCAATGTGACTCGATAAGTAGTGATTTTGCCCTGCCATTTTTCCAAAGATATTTTCTAATATATCTTTGAACTTTCTGTGATCTTTTACTGAAAGATTTTCTTCCTTTACCTTCTTTCAAATTGATGGGTGTGTTTTTGTGTTTCTGTGTGTAACATATCTTTAAGCATCTTTTGCAGGCTTGACAAGTGGTGACAAATTTTTTCAATTTCTGTTTGCTATGAAAGGTCTTTATTTCACCCTCATTCACAAATGAGAGCTTTGCAGGATATAATATTCTGGGCTGGCAGTTTTTTTCTCTTAGTACCTGGGCTATATCTCTCCATTCCTTCCTAGCCTGTAGGGTTTCTGATGAGAAGTCTGCTGTGAGTCTAATTGGAGATGCTCTGAGAGTAATCTGACGTTTCTCTCTTGCATATTTTAGAATCTTTTCTTTATGTTTCACTGTATGAGTTTGAATAAATGTGCCATGGTGAGGATCCCTTTTGGTCATGTTTATTGGGGGTTCTATGTGCTTCCTGTACTTGGATGCCTCTTTCCTTCTCCAAACCCGGGAAGTTTTCTGCTAGTATTTCACTAAAAAGGCCTCTAATCCTTTCTCTCTCTCCATGCCTTCAGGAACTCCTAGAACCTGAATGTTGGGATTTTAATAGTATCCTGTAGATTCCTGACAATATTTTTCAGATTTCTAATTTCCTCTTCTTTTCTTTGGTTTGACTGTATACTTTCCTGTGCTCTGTTTTCTAAGTCCAATATTCTCTCTTCTACCTGATTTCAGTTTTTAAGGCTCTCAAATGTGTTTTTCATTTGTCCTATTGACTTCTTCATTTCATTTTGGTTTCTCTTCAATATCTCAATTTCATGTTCTACTAAATTCTTCATTTCGATTCCTCCTTAAGATTTCATTTTCATGAGAAAGATTTTCTGTCCTGTCCTGAATGGATTTCTGTAGTTCATGCATATTTTTTGATAACTTCTAAATGTTCTTATAAATTTTTTGAAATCCATATCTTGCATATCTTCTATCTCATCATCTTTATAATCTTGTATTGGAGTGTCATGTTCATTTGGGAGCATCATGGTGTCTTCCTTGTTCTTGTTTCCTTGATTTCTGTGCTTGTTGTTTGGCATTGTGGAGATAGTCTTTGGTTTCTTCTTTTTTTTTTTTTTCACTGTGGTGGCTTTTCTCATTATACTATGACTCAAGATTAAGCGGACTGTCTGCTTTTGGTGAATCTCTAGAGGCTTGTGGTGGTGTGGCCAGAGAGCTCTGTTCAGTTCTTCAGGTTTATGGGTGTGCCAAAAGTGACATACCCAAGTTTGGCGTGGTAAATCTTTCTCTCTCTCTTCTTTTCTTTTTTTTTTTTTTTTATTCAGAGGGGAAGTAATTCAGCTCAGCTGAGTGCTTTTCCTCGATGGCAATCAGTGCCTGAGTGCTAGCCTCAGTGGGTATAATATTTGCCTGCTCTGTCCCAAAGACCACACAAAGGATCTGTTCAGTCCTCAGTGTAAGCTCAGATTGGGTGGGATTCTCTCTCACCAGGTAGCCAAGGCCGCCTGAATTTGTGGCATCTCCCACCAAGACTACTCACATCTTAGCCACATCATGAGTTCTCCCAAACACCCTGTTTTTTTTTTTTTTTTTTTTCACAGTCCCAGTTGATAAGCTCCACACATTTGCTAGGTTTTAGTCTCCTGTTATTTCTCCCCACCAGAGTCAGGTTTTTCTGCTTGGCTGAGAGAGCAGGTGCAGCCCCAAGCTGGTGCAGCTGTTATGTATGCCCAAAATGGTGCCTGTTCTATTGTCTGGCACACCTTTGTAAGGTGTGTAGAGAAAGAGAATCATGTCCATACTAGTCCCTTTTATTTTTTTTTTCTCTCCTCTAGTTCAGCTGGTGTACTCTGCCCCATGGGGCTTCAAGCCTCGTTCCCTCTAGGCTTTTCCTACCACTTTTCCGCAGTGTCTTGGCCTCCTGCAGTTTTGCCTCACCTCCCTTTCCAGTGTTGGAGTGGAGACTCCCTCAGCAGCTGGGCTCCTGAGCTGTGGGTGCCCATGCCCTCCACATAGGTCTACCATGTCCCTCTAATTCCGGAAGAGTTTCCTTTGCGGTTTTTTCCCTAACTCTTCCCTGAGACTACAGTATCTCCACTTTTATTAAACTATCTTTTTCTGGACTATCAGTGTGCTCCCTCCCTACTCTGCCATCTTGAAGCCCTCCCTTGATTTAGTTAATGGATGCAATTGATTTCTTAACTATGTTGGAAAAAGCAAGAATTTACAGGGATGGTTTGGTTCCAGATCAGTTAACTCAGAAGCCCTGCAGCAGTGGTTCACAAACGTTTGTGCATTGCAGTCAGCTGGGGGTCTTGCAGACTGCTATCACCTACCACCAAATTGCTGAACCCTCCTCCAGAGTTTCTAGAAACAACTCCAAGTTGTCGTTGATCACACTGACAGAGAGGCCACATTTTGAGCACCTCTGTCCTAGATCAAGCAGAATAACAGAAAGCCTGAGAGTTTGCGCTCCTCTCAGTCACAGCTTTTTGTAGAGAGAAGAGGGTAAACTACTCTAGTAACCATTTTACTGGAAATCAAGGTGTCGGGGTTTAGAGCACTGATCCTGACACCTTGGCCATTCAGCTGCCTGGTAAGCTGTGGCGCCCAGGAGCAGGTCCAGCCCTGATTGCAATGACTGTGCTCTTCAGCTGCTTGTACTTGCACCTAGGGCTTGCCTAAAGGCAGGAATTGCTAGAGGCAGGTGTGAAACACACAGGCAAGATGAAAGAGGTTTGAGAAACAGTGCCCTGGCTGTACTCCCTGCCTCCACACTGTCAAAGACAAAGCTCAAGTACTGGGGCTGCCCTCAGCCTCACCTCCTTCCTGAGCTATCTCCAGGCTGTTCCATCACTGAACACTGATGCAAACCAACCTACTTATTCCTTTTTCAACTGAGAATCCTCCAGAGAAAAGCAATAGACATTTTAATTAAAAAAACAAGGCCATTACAGATTGTAATTC